GCACGGGTCCAGGAGCATTCAACAATGCTAGCCAGCTTGGGAGAAGCGATGGATCGGGTTCTCCAGGTCGTCCAACGCCTGGAGAGGAGAGGACCCGATCTGTCGAGACTAGCTGGGCAACCAGATCCAGCCACCCACACCCCAGCACCCAGAGGGATCCAAATATCCCAACCACGGGAGTTCGACGGGACAGCTGCTCTCTGCCAGGGATTCCTCCTCCAACTGGAGCTCTACTTCTCCAGCATCAGCCCGGCCCCCATCGGAGTGGGAGAAGGTGTCCGCCCTCGTCTCCTGCCTCTCGGGGAAAGCCCTGGAGTGGGCCAACGCGGTCTGGAATGAAGGAGGAGCCGTGTTGGACAACAACGGGGAGTTCGCTCGCCTCTTTCGGGCTGTTTTCGATCACCCGCCCGAAGGTCAAGAGTCGGGCGAGCGGCTGGTCTACCTGAGGCAGGGGACGAGGACTGCGCAGGACTGCGCCTTGGAGTTTGGGACGCTGGGTCCGGGTGGAACGAGCGGGCCCTTTTCGACCACTTCCGGTGCCATCTGCGGGAGGACGTACGAAGGGAGCTAGCCTGCCAGGACACCATGTTGTCCTTCACACAACTGGTGGACATGGCCATCCGTTTGGACAACCTGCTGGCGGCCAGAGGACGTCCTGGAGGGGGTCTGCCCGTTCCAACCCCGGCCGACTCGGATCACGAGCTGATGGAGCTAGGTGGAGCCGCGATCCGAGAGAGTGGAGGACGACAGCGCCAGTGTCACTCTGGTGGCACGAAGGGACATTACACCGTCGTCAGCGTTGTTTTGGGTCTGGAGGCGGCAGGCAGGGCACTTTCGCATCACCCCAGGTATCGAACACCAACACTTGTTCAGAGCCCTCTGCTGCGCACCCATCCACTTTCCTGATCACATTGTAGTTCCCCAGTGTAAGGCGCTAGTCGATTCAGGGCAGCTGGGAACTTTATGGACAGGGCATTCTCACACAGTCTAGGTATATCATTGGTTCCCCTATCCATTCCACTCCCCATCAGAGCACTTGATAGTCGACCATTAGGGTCTGGGTTTGTTAGGGAAGTTACCGCACCAATCACCATGGTTACCCACGAGACTCATTGCGAGTAAGTCACGTTTTTTATTATTGAGTCTCCTGCTTTCTCTGTGGTACTAGGTATCCCTTGGTTAGCACTTCACAACCCACCTCCACAACAACCTTTACCTGTTCCACAACGACCATGGTCTCACCTGAGTGTTGATTTCCTTACCGATCTTCCCCTCTCCCAAGGTAACACCACCATCCTGGTCATTGTGGACCGCTTTTCCAAAGCCTGCCGCCTCCTTCCTCTGCCCGGTCTCCCCACGGCCCTGCAAACTGCGGAGGCCCTGCTTACACACGTCTTCCGGCACTACGGGGTACCAGAGGATATAGTGTCTGACCGGGGTCCCCAGTTCACATCCAAGGTCTGGAAGGCATTCATGGAACATCTGGGGTCTCGGTCAGCCTGACCTCTGGTTTCCACCCCGAGTCTAATGGGCAGGAGGAGACGTGGGACGCTGCCCACGTCCACCTCCAACTCGCCGTGCGTCGTCAGAAGGCCGACGCTGGGGTATTTTCCCCGTGTGCATGTTTGTTCCAGTGCGCCTGTTTTGCACACTGGACTGATTACGCTGGATGACGGAATAAACTCTGTATACTGTGATTTACCCTCCTGCGCCTGACTCCTTCAAATCACGCATCACAGGTTTAGACACTGTGTGTTATAGTACTCTGTGTGAAATCCACTCTAGGGGTGTAATGCTATTTTCATTTCAGTGGCACCACTTCTGGATGGGCTTAATGTTCATTACCATTATCTTTGCTGTGATGTTTAAATCGTCACGGTTTAATGTGCTACAATACGTACTCTCTGTAATCTCTTTGTGCTAGTTAACTAAGGTTAACTGGTATCAAGAGTGCACCCACAGTCTTGGATTGTTGGATTGTATTTATGGCATAATAGATTCACTGCAGAATAGATGGCGTATTACTCTGTAATACTAAATAATAAAAGCACTTCTCTTTCATGGGCATGAAATTAAAAGAGGACCAGGCTATACAGACCCTAGTGAGGGTGAAGGAGCCAACCTGAGTCACAGGGAAGGGTTTGGGGGCTGATTTGATCCAACTCAGTCACGGGGAAGTGGGGTGGGCTGGTGATGGGGGGCTGGCTGTTTAGCAAAAGGAGAGAGAAACAAATAATCAATATTTATAGATGAAGCGCGACGCAGGCTGCACAAACACAGCTCTGTTCACTAAGTGAAGCCAGAGGCCCTGAGCAGAGAAAAGAGCAGTCGACTTTAAACAGGAAAAACACGAGGACTCCACCACATCAGATGCTGAATTAGACATCAGGACTGTGAAAACATCTCTCCCTGCTAAAAGAACAATATCCTCCCCAGGCTATATATATCTAAGAGGCTAGCAGGAGGACATGGTGGGGGGATGGGGGGCAATGAACTGTAAGTCGTTCAGGATAATATGGAGAGGAGTATGCTGTAGATAGGAACATGGAATCGCTTCAGTGGCAGACTGGTAGCGAGAGACTTGGGATGGTGTAGGATAGGAAGGGGTAGCCAATAGTGTTAGAGCAATGTGGAGCGGGGTCGTTAGAGGCCACGACTCCAACACCATCATTAAGTTTGCAGACGACACAACGGTGATAGGCCTGATCACCGACAACGATGAGACAGCCTATAGGGAGGAGGTCAGAGACTTGGAAGTGTGGTGCCAGGACAACAACCTCTCCCTCAACGTGATCAAGACAAAGGAGATGATCGTGGACTACAGGAAAAGTCCTTGGTGTCCACATCACCAACAAACTATCATGGTCCAAACACACCAAGACAGTCGTGAAGAAGGCACGACAATGCCTATTCCCCCCAGGAGACTGAAAAGATTTGGCATGGGACCTCAGAGCCTCAAAAAGTTATACAGCTGCACCATCGAGAGCATCACCGCCTGGTATGGCAACTACTCGGCCTCTGACCGCAAGGCGCTACAGAGGGTAGTGCGTACGGCCCAGTACTTCCTGCCATCCAGGACCTCTATACCAGGTGTGTCAGAGGATGGCCCTAAATATTGCCAAAGACTCCAGCCACCCTAGTCATAGACTGTTCTCTATGCTACCGCACGGCAAGCGGTACCGGAGCGCCAAGTCTAGGTCCAAAAGGCTTCTTAACAGCTTCTACCCCCAAGCCATAAGACGACTGAACAGCTAATCAAATGGCTACCAGGACTATTTGCATTGCCCCCCCCCCCTCTCTTTTTATGCTGCTGCTACTCGCTGTTTATTATCTATGCATAGTCACTTTACCCCTACCTACATGTACATATTACCTCAATTACCTCAACTAACCTTTACCCCCGCACATTGACTCTGTACCGGTACTCCCTGTATATAGCCTCGTTATTGTTATTTTATTGTTGCTCTTTTTCTTTTTTACTTTAGTTTATTTAGTAATTATTATTTTTTTTATTTTTTTCAGTAGTCTTATTTTTCTTAAAACTGCATTGTTGGTTAAGGGCTTGTAAGTAAGCATTTCACGGTAAGGTCGACACCTGTTGTATTCGGCGCATGGAGAAATCTAATTTGATTTGATTTGATGACATTACCAAAGGTGAGGGATGGTTTATAATGTCAGTGATAAGCTGCATTATGTATGTGACATAAAGCCTGAAATTGGAGATGAGAATATCTGTGAGAATTACACAGGAAACAGATTAATCTATTTCATGTTATGCTTATACTTATACTATACGGTACATGTCTATGCAAGTGCATACTGTACATTTAAACAATGCTCTTAAGGATACCATTCATTGCTTATTATTCAACATGGTTTAACAGTCACGTTGCTTACATGTTGAATACTACGATGATAAACAATCTATTTTAGTATGGTATAAAACATGCAGATTCTATCAGGCTGTACAGTCAGGAACATAAAGCTGACTCTTGCTGCTCTCTCTGATGTTGGTCATCATTTCATTCTCAACCAGCTAAAGCCAATGTAGCCATGGGCTTCTACCAACCAAACCTCTTCCTGCCCCAGATATGTTACACAAATTACCATCCCCACAATGCACTTGGGTAATTCAGAGTACAGTCTCTGTGTGTGTTTGTCTGCCTCTGCCTCAAGAGAAAGGATGTGCTCCTTTAGAACCTAATTTAGCATGCTTCATTTCCAGTGTCTCCATGCCAACCCCACTATGTCAACCAATGAAAGGGCTAGGAGAGTGGGGTGGGGGGTAGTCCGATTAATGAATAAGGGCCCCAACGTGCACACTCACCCATTTATGAACACCTAAATAGGATGATTTCTGTAATATTATTAATCTTACAATGCTTGGATGTATATTTCTAAATATGGCAGTTACCTGAAATTCACTCATGAATTGCATAATAGTCTAACAACTGTACCTGCACATTTTAAATACATACTATTTTGATGTGGTTATTATGTTAAGAAACAAAATGATAAATCCAGTTTTTGCAGTGAAGAAAAACTGAGTCAATCTTGCCTGATGGGTGTTGTCTCTGTCTGGGCACATTTTGCAGGCAACCCCCTCCCCCATCTCCATCCAAAAAGCAGCCAATCATTCTCTAATTCCTCATGTATTATCTGTATGTGGTTAAGCAGAGAGAAATTGGCTAATTAGTGTGCACCAGATGGATATTCTTGGCCATGTAGGAGTGTGCAAATTAGGTCACCCGTTCGCATGAGTTAAGAAGACTGCTGTTGAACAGCACTGTTAGCTAGTGTAAAAGCAATGTAACACCTGTGACAGTGGCATTTCATATATCACCCTAATAACTAACTGGATACACTGTATAATCTACATAATACAACAAAACATTAATATGGCCCATACATGTTGAATATTTACCCGGTTACAATATTTGACAAAATATTTAGGATTGAAGTATAAATATATAGGAATAACAATAGTAACATTAAACAAATTCGTAAACGTATATGATTTATTCTTACATTTGTATAAAAAACATGCAGGATTAACAATAACATTTGAATTACCACTGTTCATATAAAAATACCAAATGTATATATATTTAAAATGCATAAAAAGGGATTGTTTCCTTGGTACACATATGGAAAATACTTGAAGTGTGTCCATATTATGTAGTCACACATGACCGAGCATGAGGGTTCCTGCTTGAAATGTCAACTGGTCACAGAGAGCTAGTCCCCTTCATAACACTGTCAGAGAAGGACCTTTGGTCTCGTGTGCACTCCCCCAATAACCTCATTGACCATGCAACTACTTGCTACCTATGAGCTCACAGTGAGTGAGGGAGCTGTTTCAGTATCATTGTGTCTTAAAAGGATAATTAATTTTTGATCACAGTAATTAAAAATACATCACTTAAGATAACTGGGTCAAATAAGTAGAATCACATTTTCTTTTCTATTTTGACTTCAATATAATCTCTCCAGAAAACTGGAGATTGCGTTGCTCTTTGGTTTAACACAAATGGCTGATTTGTATGTTCAACATGCACATACTACTGACACATTTTAATATATTTGTTAAACAAAAAGGAGCAGATACAATGAAACCAATATAAATTCATGTTCCATTATTTGTGACCCCAAAAAGTCATTTTAAAAGCAGTACGTATTATAGTACAACACAGGTCTTACAGCGACTGTGTAATAACTCAAAACAAACCAACTCTATGCTAAGGACACCAATGATATCCAATATCACATGATACTGTACAATAGGAGCAATGCAAGGCCTTCTAAAGCTTTCGGAAATTAATGAGCCCATTGATTGGGTAGGGAGCTGCACTCAGCCCACTGGTAGCATGATATTACACAACCTGTCATAAGACGCGACTTACATAAAGGCACATTATACAATGCCATGTTCCATTAAGACATTTCATTTTAACTAGTATTTTAAGTGCCCTGGAATGTTTTTGCCAACTTATTTAGCTGTGTGGTACGCACGAAATGTACATACATGCACACAAATCGTCAACGCCTTCCACACCCTGTAAGTAGTCCTTTGCAGAGCCTTTAGGTTTCATTTACATGATTTACATACAATACAAATAAGTATGGCTTTGGTACATAGTGCTGAGAGAGGTACATTTCAAAACCTTCAAGTCTCCGGTGTTTCAGGACTTCCCATGTTGACCCCACGTTTCTAAGCAACAGTAAGGTACAAAAGACACCCATCAGTTATGTGCATCACCTTGGGTTTTCCAATGGAGGGCGATATAGTCCTCTCAGTCTGTGCAGATGCTAGACAGTCTCCGGAAGGTTTGGCAATGGAGAGAGGGAACGTTTGATAAAAACAAAAGAGGCTGTCCAGCTGGAAGGAAAACAGATGGAGAGCTTTGGTTGACCAATCAACTGCCAGCTCAACTTGGATGATGAAAAGGATGGGACAGTAACCTCTAGTACACTGTGAGCCTATCAGACTGCATAATACACCCCAGACAGCGACTCAGGGTCAGTAACGGTCCCGAAATATCATGAGGGTAAACCATGTGACTGTGCAAAAACAGCTCCTCTCCACACATAAAGCGATATGTATTAGAATCTTCTTAGATTGTCTTTTCCAAATGAACAAGCGGCACTGGGCACCTAATCCTCCTGAGGAAGTAATTCCCTGCCAGATTGTGAAGTATCAGATTACCGTCACATCAGTCCCGGAGGAGGAGAGAGTTGGGCTCACTAAAGTGAGACAGAAATGAAAGTGGTTGGAAAGGTAAAAACCAGGAGAGTATTGTGCTCAGGTCACAGATTCTCAATCCTGACCAGTCACATTGTTTTGTCTTTGAGGCAGCGATGGGACTAGAGGAAAGAATATTTCCTGTTGGTTTGTCATCTGACAGTCTGTGGTCAGGATGTGGTTAAGATGTGGGGTAAGAGCTCCTGACCATGGGGGGTTGTTTAGACCATGAAATGCATGTACCCTTCAGCCCCGGTGACGATGACGTCCATCCAGATGCGCATGGCCTCAGGGGAGGGAGACACCATGTAGTATACCCTGTCATGGGTCTTCACACTAAACGTCAGAGATGGGTTCGGGCTCTGTGAGGGAGGGAGGAGGGGTTGCAAAAGTGGGAGGAAAAATAAAAACAATGTCACTATAATTAAAGAAAAATTGTGTTTCTTAGCTTAAAATAAAGATACTTCGATACTGTAAATGTGTAAATCATTTGTACCTTACCTTGTGTGCATTCTTTAAATGGTCATAGTAAACCTCTTCTATGGCTTGGAAGTAGATTACCCCTTTCATCTTGGCTTCGTGTTTGTCTGGAACAGAGCACATAGCATTGGAATGACTATGTTTATGGGTGGTGAAACATAACATCACTTGAATCAAAGCTCTTCCTAGATATCCAGAGTAAAGCAGCACAGCTTGATGATGATGTCATCACTGCTTTTCTTTCAGCGCTCTGATTGATCTACCACTTACAGCTGCAACAGACCGAGACAGAGAAGAGGGAGAAAGAGAGAGAATAGAAGGTACAATCACCTGCATAGTAGGCCAGGGTCCTGCGGCTCCGGTCAAAGACAAACCAACGTTTCTTCCAGGTCTTGATCTTACCACCCATCTTGACCAGGAACCCTCTGCAGGTTTTATCTGTGATGGCCAGGTGGTAGCAGTTGTCTGGGTTGTGTCCAGCTGCCTCAATGTGACCATGAAGGTCAAAGTCATCCTTCCTCTGAGGGAGGTAGCGTGTCATCGGCCGGGCCTGGGGACAAGGGTCAGGGGTCACAGGTGTCTAGTCTGTGTTGAGCCCATGGTTAAAAGCTACAATCAAGTTAAAGACCTGCTAGTCATTTTTATTTACAATGTATTGGATCTTGTCTATTTAAGGCCAGGCACCACACCCTAATAGGGTAATTTCCCCCCCTTATTCATATCACAATGATCTCTTACCAGTTGAATGTAGACACGGTTACAAAACCAATAACTATAGTAAACTGGTCTGTAACCTGATTTAAGATGTGCATCTATGTGAGAAATCAGCGCATGTGCCTAGGTGTTGAATGTAGATACCCAGGAGACAGCTACTTTACCTTAAATCCAGGGCCAGCTCTGTCCTGACCTCTTGGTCGGCCAGTTCAAGCAGATTACTATTTGTTCAGATGGTAACTAAATAAATATGTACAAAAAGGACAAATACCAAAGGCATGCCCAAACTAAAGACTCAAAGACAAACGAAAGAACTCATGACCACCAAACAAAACCAGCAGCCTCTTCTTCTTCTTCTTCTATGGTATATTGGCGATTGCACAATTTAATGTGCGGGATGGGAAACAGGATTCCCCAAAATGTAACAAAATACCCCTCCCAAAAAACTACCAAAAAATGTATAAATACACTAAACTAAATCAAACAACTTTTCTGTTAAAACAGATCTGATCCCTACACAGGCTCAAGGGGAACCTGGGTCATCCGGCGCCAGTACTTTTTATTTTATTTGTATTTTACCTTTATTTAACTAGGCAAGTCAGTTAAGAACAAATTCTTATTTACAATGACGGCCTACACCGGCCAAACCCGGACGACGCTGGGCCAATTGTGCGCCGCCCTATGGGACTCCCAATCACGGCCGGTTGTGATACAGCCTGGAATCAAACCAGGGGGTCTGTAGTGATGCCTCAAGCACTGAGATGCAGTGTCTTAGACCGCTGCGCTACTCGGGAGTCCCACTCGCCAGTACCCCTTGCAAGTCTTCAGATGTAAAAGTCCCAAAAACTTTTCTGCTGCAGCCACAATAATATCCAGTTTCTTAGACTTCTTTGAGACTTGAAGGGGTACTTGAATGCCACAAAAATCCACCTTTTTAACACACAGGGTTTTTGACTGGCAGCAAACATTTACTACAGGCTGTAGTGCATCCACTACCATATCTTCACTAGCATCACTTGTTTTCTCAACTATTTTAATCGCCTCCACATAGGAGCTCTAACCTTTTCCACCTCAATCTCCTTCACCCTTACAGGGCACTCCAGGAACTCGGGATCATGATCCCCACCACAATTGCAACACCGGAGTCCTTCTACACACCGTTCTTCAATATACTCTGTCTGTCTGCACACACTTGAAACATGGCCAAATCCTTTACAATTCTTACACTGCAATGGTTTGGGAACAGCGTATCTTACATAACTAAGCTTCACATGCGTAGGTATTTGCTCTTTATCAAAAAACAGACAGAATTTCTTCTTTGCCAGCTGGGACACTGACTGACGATCACCCTAATTGGCGACACCGGATGTGTTTATCAACCAGGCTCAGCACCTGGCATGGAACTATATTTTACTATACATTTCCATCAATTGGACTACCCCTCCTAGCCTAACTAGTAATTTTAGAATCACCCAAGTTTGGTAGCCTATGCTGTTGGATGCAATACTTTCTGGACCTGGGCATGGTTGTTCATGTTACAATGTATCACTGATCAAACGTTCGCCTGAACCTTGCCATAAAAGGTCTGCGGCAAAGCAACCAGAAATGCCTATTTAGACCCAACCATGATCTCTTCAAAGTAAGTTAATACATATAGTCCAGCTTGTAACATTCTCTATGAAATGGGCTTTTAAATGGTGTATGATTTAATGTAGTGAGCTTTGAAATGATGGATTTATGTTCAGTTGAATGTGGTTAAAATCCATGAATTTTCGTTTGGTATGTTACAAATTTTGCAATTCGTGTGATATGCTACGAATCCAATTTGTTGTGCTCAAGATCCCGGAGTGCATCTTTAAGGTACCAAAAAGTAGATTAATAAATGTCATCGGAGCCTGTGTTGCCTCGCCCTAAATTACCATGCTTCTGAAATGATTGTTATTGTGATTCTTGGCCCATCCTTTTCTATATCTCCCACCTGTGCCCTCTGTTTCTCACGGAGCTTCACCTCCCTCTCGATCATCTTCTGCCTCCTGCTGGTCTCCTCCTGCAGTCTCTTCTCCAGGTCCTCCCTCCTCCTCCGCTCCTCCTCCAGGGCCTGCCTGCGCACCTCCATCTCACGCTCCTACACACGTCACACAACGTTAGTTACAGCATGTATCGCGCTCGCTCTCTCTCTCTCTCTCTCTCTCTCTCTCTCTCTCTCTCACACACACACACAGAGCAAAGAGGCTGGTAGAGATGGTTTACTAATGAAGGCTTTATTACCCTGTGCTCAAGGAGTCGATTCTTATCAGCCTGGGCCTCTCGTAACAAACGTTCCATCTCTTCAATCTTTGCTACATTGGATGTGCTGGCACTGTGGAAAAAAGACAACCATAGACACACATCAAGGAAGAGGACACACTCTCACCAGAAAAGGACTGTCCATCCTGGAACCGATTAAGTGTGAGTGAAATTCCAGACTAGGGCCTTTACTATAAAGTTAACATAAACACTGCACTTCTGCACCAGTCATAAAATCCCCATTCTGTACAACGTACCTGTTTTTCTGTCCCGTAAATACTATATAGACTGACCAAAAACACATTCACACACTTAAACAATGGTAACTCTCAAGGCTGTTGTGTGTGTACAGGATTAGTCATGTAGAAAAAACACCTCTTCTGCTTATAACACTGGCTGTGAGACAGCTGGACAACATATGGCGAAGCCACGATGTTCAGCATCCTCACCAACAAACATATACAGACATATAGATTGTACAGGACTATCACGGTACACCAAACAATATCTGCAGAGATAGATATAAACATAGATTGACCATTGTAACAAGATATCCTGAAGATTTAGAATTAATCTAATAGTTTGGCTTGGCAGAGCATGACATCTAATGGAAAATCCCAAACAGTCTGCAGAACCATGTGTCTGTTGTCAAGTGTAACCAATGAGCATAATCAACTTTTGTCTGAGAGTTCAACTGATTTCATCTAAGTGATTATTTCGGACAAAAACTGCCATTAAACAGTAACACACAAGTTGCAACAACAAAGTATTTATATCCAAAAAGGATGCAACACAGTACTTTTGGTTTGAACAAACACAGCCTCCTCTCTATAATAGACAACCTGAGCAAGCACTGACACACACAAGCACACAAACAAGGTCTTTACTCACATTAGATTCAGCATCCTGGCACTATCCCAGCGACACAGTAACAGTACTGATGGGTTGGATCTCCACAATGCTCTAAGAGGTGGCTGGGCCCCTTCACTGAGAGCACAGATGTGTTTGTGACCTGACACTCCTGCACCAGCCTCAGCCACACCCCTCCCTCCCCCTCAGCCCTCCCTCTGGGGCGCTCACCCTGCCTCACTCCTGCACACCACGCTCAGCTTCACTTCTGGATACTTCAAAGACTCACAGAATTAGGAAAGAACCAAACACATGGAATGATGCTGAGTCACATCTCTCTAATACATAAGATGTCTCTTACGCGCCATGTCCCCAGCTCTCCTCTAGAACAAAACATGTTCTTTTCAACTAATGTCACATTGAGCTATCAATGATCCTGCTTGAACCACGGTCCTCTGTAAACAGTTCGCTCTCTCTCACCTGGAGATGTTGTCTGGGGAGCAGGCAGAGATGCTGGTCTCCATGCTGTCAGAGCTGTCCGCGCTGAGCGTGTCGAAGCCATGGCCGTTGTCTGTGTAGTGGAAGGGGTCCAGGAAGACGTTGGACTCTGAGACGGTCCTGCTACACAGGTCAACCAGTCTCTGTCTGTCCTCACTCATGTACAAGTGGCTGTGGCCTGCTGAGAGACAGATGGACACACAGACATACTCTTTCTAAAGCCTTTTATCAGATTAGATGGAAGATGTAAAAAGGTTTGTAGCTAGCATGCTGTGAGAAACAGTCAGTGGGTAGGGAGCGAGGCAGGGACTCCAGAGATGATAAGAGAAAAGGTGGAGAGACAGAGAGATAATAAGGTGCCTTTACTAGGCGCAAATAAACAAAGCCCCGAAAAACATTTTAAAAGAGAAAGTTTCCTTTCCTCCAACTAACATTTTCCTTCTAGACAATAGGTCATTAGAGGCATAATTTACTTACTAAGACAACATAAAAGAGGTTTAAACTTGGAGCATAAACACAGATATCGTGTTCACAAAACCAGAAAACAGTGTTTTGGCTAACCTTTGAGCAGGCGTTGAGATTCCAGATCTCTGGGAGAGACAGAGAGGCCCCGGGGGATGGCACTACCACAGCTGGAGCTCTGGGACAGGGGCAGGTGGGACTGCAGAGTAGACAGACAGACACAACAGAGAGAGAGAGATCATGACCTGATAAGTGTTTCTCTAACCCATATCTCCAGTAATCAGATGAGGGGACTCTGGCATTCAATGGCATTAGCAATCAATTATTCAATTATGTGCAATGGGGAGGTTGGTCCCCCATGCTCACCTTAGAGGACAGGCTGCGGCCTAGTGTGGAGCTGCTGTAGTGACTGAGGGGCTGCTGGCTCCGCTTACGGAGAGTGTCACTGAGGTGGGAGGAGTTCTCCTTACTGCCCCGCCTCCTCTCCTCCAGAGAGCGGAAGTGCTGCAGAGACCACAACAGAAACAGAAACATATGGAAATTATAAAAGCTTTACATTCATTGAAAGTGGTGGTTTTAGAAGGCAACTTCCTCTGTTGTTAGGAATTCCAGTCACTGAAGGGCTCTTGGTACAGACACAGCTGCCCTCTGCTGGTCAGACATACAGCATGCACTGTGAGTAGTGTAGGAATTGTACATTATACCTCTTTCATGGCAACAGGGTTGTTAGGGAAGGCCTGCCCTCCAGTCACTTCAGCATACTTCCTCTCCAGAGAAGCCAGGTTCTCCCTCTCCTAGAGACACACAGACTGTCAGTCAAACAAAGGTGCAGGCATACAGATACAGTAATCAAAAACCTTCTTACCCTCTGAAGCATAAGGAGCAGGTTGTTCTTCTCTTTCAGGAAGCTGTCCTTCTCTCGCTGAGACTGCTGGGTAATCTGTGTAGACTGCTTCTTCAGGGTCAGGAGTCTCTCCTTGCGTGTGACAGTGCTACGCTGGTAATCTGCTATCTCTCGGAGTAGATGCTGGGTCTGACCCTCCTTCTCCTCGTCCTGACGACTCTCTCTCTCCAGCTGCTGGAACTCCAGGTCCTCAAACCACTTCCTCTTGGCCTCCAGTACCTCCACATCCTGACGGACAAAACACACATATACACACACACATCATATAAGATAGAGAATGCACTGGCTTTAAGTGGGTCAGTGTGTGGAGGATTCAAACTCACAGACAGACAAATACATTTACATTTTACAGACAAATAGACCACAATAATGAACTCCAATTATCCTGTAATGCCAGTTAAATGCATTAGCTAGATAACAACATACATACATCTACTCTCTGAGACAATACTTCAAGTCACTGCACTTTCCTTACTTGGCTATCTCTGTCTGAATCATAGGGGAGAGACCATCAAGTGAACCCAAGGACAAGAAGGGAGCTGTCTGAGTGAGGCAGGGGGGATACGAGGACATCTATAAAAGGGAGGGCCAAAGAGGAGGATTTTATGTGCACCACAGAAATAGAACGCAAAAGAAGGGAGGGAAGTAGAAAGCAACATGTTAAAAGGAAGAAAGGCAGCCATATTAACTGAGGAGGATGAGGGACCAGCTAGGAGTTTGTTGCTGTGTCTTACTGACCCTGGAGAGATGCTCCTTAAGCTGCTCCTGAAGCGCCTCGGGACAGTTGTCCAGCTGGGTCCTCTGCTCAGAGACAAGCTCCGCCAGCCTCTCTACTTTTACCCTCTCAGCATCAAGCAGGGCTTTCTCCTGCATAGTCGTGGACACATTTACACACACACACACACACACACACACACACACACACACACACACACACAAACGCATAGGCACATAAGCACAGACACATGCATACACACACACACGCACTAAAACATATGCGCAAGTGCGCACGCATACATGCGCACACACACACAACAACAGAGAGAGGAACGAGTGTTAGTGAAAGGAGAGAAGGAACAAAGTGGAGGGAGGGAGAAGAAAAGAGAGGAAGGCCTGCTCTACTGTACTCAGACCTGTGGACTGGACTGTAGATTCCTCCTAGTCAGATTCTCACCACTGACCTCCCAACTCCCACACATACTCTGTCTCTCTGTCCATCTCTCCCCCTCACATTCCCTGTGTCTGAGAGCAATGGCATCCAACTCAGAGCTGAACAACGTCTGCTGCACCTACCTGGGACCTCTCTGTGAGGGCAGTCTTGTCAGTGCTGCCAATCTTCTCATTGAGTTGGTCCAGTACCTCCTTCTCCCTCTGTAGCAGGGCCATCTCAGAGACCTCCTCCCCCTCCAGTAGAGCCCGCTCTACCTCCATCTGCACACCACACACACGCACAGGTAACATTATCCCACTGACTGATGCAGCTTTAAATGACGATGATCCATAACTCTAGATAATTAGCTCCCAAAAGCCAGATACCAGCACTAACCCCCACTAGTGTCATTACCCAGGAACAACTGTAAACATTAATTTCCTAACTCCACAAAGAATTCCAACTCATAAACACACACACATGTCAACACTAACTAACACGCACACACACATCAAACACCCAGCATGCGTGCAGCTCCGTTCACAATCACATGCTGTGTTCTGCTGTGCTGCATACCTCTCTGATGGACTCCTCCATCTGGTTGTCCAGGTCTTTGATCTTCTGCTCCACCTCCTCTATGTTGTTCAGCACCTGGATCCTCTCCTCCTCAATACGGCTCACTTCCTGTTTCAGATGCACATCCTCCGAACCATCATTAGTCCATGGGCCTACAAACTACTGCATCTATTCACAATGTGTGTTACTGTCAACACTGTGATGATGTCATGTCTAAATTATTATAAGGCCCACGGCAGGATCATGCCTCTTGTTTAAATCTATCCACGGTTGTACACAGAGGAATGGGAAATATTTGTTTTTATGTTTTCTTCACATCTTGTAATTCCTTCTCATTTGTTGCCATAGTACGTTGGTTAGATGGAGCTGCCTCAGATTGGTGTGAGCAATAGTGAGGTGGACTAATGCTCCTGCCATGTGTCTGTAATGCAGAGGAAACTGAAGTCCCTCAGCAGAACAGGGACTGGGTTACTAATACTCTACTATATCAGAAGGACTCTACTGTACAAGCCTTAGTCATCTCCTCTACCAGTCAGAGAGCACCCGCTCCTCTCATCAGCCCCTGATCTAATCCACATACTGTATCTGACACATCACAACCTCTACAATAGCTGATGCCTACTCCACCTCCACATAGGAGCCTAAAGTAGTGCTGGTCTATAGTGGTCTGAACCTCATGTGGCAGGCAGGCCGCAGTCCTACGATTTATGGGCTGTTTCACTGACGGTATTTGACTGAATGCTCCGCTGTTCCTCTGCCAGGTCTTAGGAATGTGAGATGGATGAAGAGAGTGGATTGGAAGGTTCAATAACGTGTGTCTTTAATGGGTCTCTATCTCAGCCGTAACAAATGATAGCGGTAATGTATTCTCTACATGCAATGAAATATAATACTAATCTGGTAGTCAGATAATAAAGTAGGCTCCAACAGATTTATTTTTCAAATAAAAGGTAGAATGATTATCTATTGAAATTGTATAAATATTAATATCAGCTACAAAGCAGGTACTGGGTATTGTAAGTACTGTAATATTAAGAAAACATCTGGAGAAATACTTTTCTCTTACACACCGTATGCACACACGCACGCACACACAGACACACACACACACACACACACATACACACAGTTAAGTAATTTCCTGCTCACCCTCCTTTCAGAGAGTTTGAGCGACTTAGGGCTATAACTGAACTATTCCCCAGAGAACTCCTCCATTAAAACCAAACACAGCATTAAGTCATTACTGCTCTAGAGTGGAAAAAATGCCACAGTTTTACAGCAATAATATAACTCTAATAGTTGCACTGGGACTGAAACTGGGACTGGGGTTAGGTGCAGAGTCAGACTAAGCTCCTCGTGAAAGACAGGGGAACCAGTGGATGTGTACTTTGTGTTTAAATAACCCCTACAGTGAAAGTTACGTACTCCTGAGTGGCGCAGTGGTCTAAGGCACTGCATCGCAGTGCTAACTGTGCCACTAGAGATCCTGGTTCGAATCCAGGCTCTGTCGCAGCCGGCCGCGACCGGGAGACTCATGGGCGGCGCACAATTGGCCCAGCGTCGTCCAGGGTAGGGGAGGGAATGGCCGGCAGGGATGTAGCTCAGTTGATAGAGCATGGCGTTTGCAACGCCAGGGTTGTGGGTTCAATTCCCACGGGGGGCCAGTATAAAAATATATATATATATGTATTCACTAACTGTAAGTCGCTCTGGATAAGAGCGTCTGCTAAATGAATAAAATGTAAATGTAAAGTATAGGAGATGTAAGGAAGACTCCTTATATCTTCAGCAACACTGATGCATACCTCAACCCCCACAGGGCTACATCGTTTCCACTACCTCATGTACTCACATACCCTCTAATGCTGGGGTGTCAAATATACGGCCTGCAGGCCGATTCGGCCCGCGAGGGGGTCCAATCCGGCCAACGGGAGGTTTGAGTAAAAATAAAAATGTATACAGTGCATTCGGAAAGTATTCAGACCCCTTGACTTTTTCCACATTTTGTTTCGTTAAAGCCTTATTCTAAAATTGATTAAATTGTTTTTTTCCCTCATCGATTTTTTGCTAATTTATAAACAATAAAAAACGGAAATATCACATTTAAATAAGTATTCAGACCATTTACTCAGTACTTTGTTGAAGCACCTTTGGCAGCGATTACAGCCTTGAGTCTTCTTGGGTATGACGCTACAAGCTTGTTACACCTGTATTTGGGGAGTTTCTTCCATTCTTCTCTGCAGATCCTCTTAAGCTCTGTCAGGTTGGATGGGGAGCGTCGCTGAACAGCTATTTTCAGGTCTCTCCAGAGATGTTAGATCGGGTTCAAGTCTGGGCTCTGGCTGGGCCACTCAAGGACATTCAGAGACTTGTCCCGAAGCCACTCCTGCGTTGTCTTGGCTGTCGTTGTCCTGTTGGAAGATGAACCTTCGCCCCAGTATGAGATCCTGAGAGCTCTGGAGCTGGTTTTCATTAAGGATCTCTCTGTACTTTGCTCTGTTCATTTTTCCCTCGATCCTGACTAGTCTCCCGGTCCCTGACGCTGAAAAACATCCCCACAGCATGATGGTGCCAGGTTTCCTCCAGACGTGACGCTTTGCATTCAGGCCAAAGAGTTCAATCTTGGTTTCATCAGACCAGAGAATCTTGTTTCTCATGGTCTGAGAGTCCTTTAGGTGCCTTTTGGCAAACTCCAAGTGGCAAACTCCATGTGCCTTTTACTGAGAAGTGGCTTCCGTTTGGCCACTCTACCATAAAGGCCTGATTGGTGGAGTGCTGCAGAGATGGTTGTCCTTCTGGAAGGTTCTCCCATCTCCACAGAGGAACTCTGGAGCTCTGTCAGAGTGGCGATCGGGTTCTTGGTCACTTCCCTGACCAAGGCCCTTCTCCCCCGATTGCTCAGTTTGGCCGGGCGGACAGCTCCACGAAGAGTCTTGGTGGTTCCAAACTTCTTCCATTTAAGAATGATGGAGGCCACTGTGTTCTTGGGGACCTTCAATGCTGCAGAATTTTTTGGTACCCTTCCCCAGATCTGTGCCTTGACACAATCCTGTCTCGGAGCTCTACGGACAATTCCTTCGACCTCATGGCTTGGTTTTTGCTCTGACATGCACTGTCATATATAGACAGGTGTGTGCTTTTCCAAATCATGTCCAATCAATTGAATTTACCATAAGTGGACTCCAATCAAGTTGTAGAAACATCTCAAGGATGAACAATGGAAACAGGCTGCACCTGGGTTCAATTTCGAGGCTCATAGCAAAGAGTCTGAATACTTATGTAAATAAGGTATTTCAGTTTTTTTATTAGTAATATATTAGCAAAAAAAATTTTAAACATGTTTTCACTTTGTCATTATGGGGTATTGTGTGTAGATTGATGAGGATTTTTATTTATTTAATCAATTTTAGAATAAGGCTGTAACGTAACAAAATGTGGAAAAAGTCAAGATGTCTGAATACTTTCCGAATGCACTGTATATATACAACGAACTCAATGTACACTATATATACAAAAGTATGTGGACACCCCTTCAAATTAGTAGATTTGGCTATTTCAGCCACACCCGTTGCTGACAGATGTATAAAATCGAGCACACAGCCATGCAATCTCCATAGACAAACATTGGCAGTAGAATGGCCTTACTGGAGAGCTCAGTGACTTTCAAAGTGGCACCGTCATAGGATACACCTTCCAACAATAATAATAAAATAATAATAATAATATGCCATTTAGCAGACGCTTTTATCCAAAGCGACTTACAGTCATGCGTGCATACATTTTTGTGTATGGGTGGTCCCGGGGATCGAACCCACTACCTTGGCGTTACAAGCGCCGTGCTCTACCAGTTGAGCTACAGAGGACCCCAGTTGGGCAATTAGAACAAGTCAGTTCGTCAAATTCCTGCCCTGCTAGAGCTGCCCCGTTCAACTGTAAGTGCTGTTATTGTGAAGTGGAAACGTGCAGGAGCAACCACGGCTCAACCGTGAAGTGGTAGGCCACACAAGCTCACAGAACGGGACCGGCGAGTGCTGAAGCGCGTAGCAACACTCACTACCGAATTCCAAACTGTCTCTGGAAGCAACATCAGCACAAGAACCCATGAAATGGGTTTCCATGGCCGAGCAGCCGCACACAAGCCTAAGATCACCATGCACAATGCAAACGTCGGCTGGAGTGGTGTAAAGCTTGCCGACATTGGACTCTGGAGCAGTGGAAATGCGTTCTCTGGAGTGATGAATCATGCTTCAGCATCTGGTAGTCCGACGGATGAATCTGGGTTTGGCGGATGCCACGAGAATGCTACCTGCCCCAATGCATAGTGCCAACTGTAACATTTGGTGGAGGAGGAATAATGGTCTGGGGCTGTTTTTCATGGTTCGGGCTAGGCCCCTTAGTTCCAGTGAAGGGAAATCTTACCGCAATAGCATACAATGACATTCTAGACGATTCTGTGCTTCCAACTTTGTGGCAACAGTTTGGGGAAGGCCCTTTCCTGTTTCAGCATCACAATACCCACGTGCACAAAGTGAGGTCCATACAGAAATGGTTTGTCAAGATCGGTGTGGAAGAACTTGACTGGCCTGCATTGAGCCCTGACCTCAACCCCATTGAATATCTTTGGGATGAATTGGAACGCTGACTACGAGCCAGGGCTAATTGCCCAACATCAGTGCCCGATCTCACTAATGCTGTTGTGGCTGAATGGAAGCAAGTCCCTGCAGAAATGTTCCAAGAAGAGTTGAGGCTGTTATAGCAGCAAAGAGGGGACCAACTCCATATTAATGCCCATGATTTTGGAATGAGATGTTCGACGAGCAGGCATACACATACTTTTCATGATGTAGTGTTTTTTTAAATAACTAAAAACTAATCTAAACTGTGTAGAAATGATAACGGACCTACATTTATATAGTTTCTTGACTGTGTCAAGCTCGCTAAAAGTCAACGAAAATAAAGCTACACAGTCAGGGAGCATTGAAAGAGGACTAACTTTTGGTACATTTGACGGCGAGATAATATTCTGAACGGACCTCCGGACCTCGTTGAAGACCGAATGTGGCCCCCAGGGCAAAATTAATTTGACACCTCTGCTGTAATGCATGTACAGTTGAAGTCGGAAGTTTACATACACTTAGGTTGCAGTCATTAAAACTTGTTTTTCAATCACTCCACAAGTTTCTTGTTAACAAACTATAGTTTTGGCAAGTTGGTTAGGACATCTACTTTGTGCATGACACAAGTAATTTTTCCAACAATTGTTTACAGACAGATTATTTCACTTATAATTCACTGTATCACAATTCCAGTGGGTCAGAAGTTTACATACACTAAGTATGTAAACTGCCTTGAAACAGCTTGGAAAATTCCAGAAAATGATGTCATTGCTTTAGAAGCTTTGAATAGACTAATTTACATCATTTGAGTCAATTGGAGGTGTACCTGTGGATGTATTTCATGGCCTACCTTCAAACTCAGTGCCTCTTTGCTTGACATCATGGGAAAATCAAAATAAATCAGCCAAGACCTCAGAAAATAAATTGTAGACCTCCACAAGTCTGGTTCATCCTTGGGAGCAATTTCCAAACGCCTGAAGGTACCCCATTCATCTGTACAAACAATAGTACGCAAGTATAAACACCATGGGACCACGCAGCTGTCATACCGCTTAGGAAGGAGACGCGTTCTGTCTCCTAGAGATTAACGTACTTTGGTGCGAAAAGTGCAAATCAATCCCAGAACAACAGCAAAGGACCTTGTGAAGATGCTGGAGGAAACAGGTACAAAAGTATCTATATCCACAGTAAAACAAGTCCTATATCGACATAACCTGAAAGGCCGCTCAGCAAGGAAGAAGCCACTGCTCCAAAACTGCCATAAAAAAGCCAGACTACAGTTTACAGTTGCACATGGGGACAAAGATGGTACTTTTTGGAGAAATGTCCTCTGGTCTGATGAAACAAAAATAGAACTGTTTGGCCATAATGACCATCGTTATGTTTGGAGGAAAAAGGGGAACGCTTGCAAGCCGAAGAACACCATCCCAACCGTGAAGCACAGGGGTGGCAGCATCATGCTGTGGGGGTGCTTTGCTGCAGGAGGGACTGGTGCACTTCACAAAATAGATGGCATCATGAGGAAGGAAAATGATGTGGATATATTGAAGCAACATCTCAAGACATCAGTCAGGAAGTTAAAGCTTGGTCGCAAATGGGTCTTCCAAATGGACAATGACCCCAAGCATACTTCCAAAGTTGTGGCAAAATGGCTTAAGGACAACAAAGTCAAGATATTGGAGTGGCCATCAAATCAAATCAAATCAAATCAAATGTTATTGGTCACATGCGCCGAATACAACAGGTGCAGACATTACAGTGAAATGCTTACTTACAGCCCTTAACCAACAGTGCATTCATTTTTAACAAAAAAAGTAAAAAAGCCCTGACCTCAATCCTATAGAACATTTGTGGGCAGAACTTAAAAAGCGTGTGCGAGCAAGGAGGCCTACAAACCTGACTCAGTTACACCAGCTCTGTCAGGAGGAATGGGCCAACATTCAGCCAACTTATTGTGGGAAGCTTGTGGAAGGCTACCTGAACCGTTTGACCCAAGTTAAACAATTTAAAGGCAATGCTACCAAATACTAATTGAGTGTATGTAAACGTCTGACCTACTGGGAATGTGATGAAAGAAATAAAAGCTGAAATAAATCATTCTCTCTACTATTATTCTGACATTTCACATTGTTAAAATAAAGTGGTGATCCTAACTGACCTAAGACAGGACATTTTTACTAGGATTAAATGTCAGGAATTGTGAAAAACTGAGTTTAAATGTATTTGGCTATGGTGTATGTAAACTTCCAACTTCAACTGTATTTACATTCACTCTGTCATAGATGAACACACACAGCTATGTCAGAAGGAGTTACTGTGTCATGCAGATGCTTTGATAAACCTCCCATACCTTGTTTCTTTTTATACTTTCCCCCACTTTTTCCATACACTTTTCACTGTGTGAGTGTGTGCACCCACATGTTTATCTGTGTATATTGAAGTGCTTGTTTGAGTGTTGAAAGGGTTAGAGAGGAAAGACCTCAGGACAACGTAAGACATGTCCCCCAGGCCTTACCTTGGCTCTGTGGTGAGGGGAGGGGGAGGGTGAGGGGCCACTGCTGCGCAGGCTGAGAGCAGGTGACTGAGACCTGGCATCCCTGGCCTCTCTGTGCCCGCTGTGACGGCGCTCGCGGACCTGCCGCTCCTCTGCCAACTGGTACTCCTCGGCTTTGGTGCCAAAGCCGTTCTCCGGGGCAGTGCCACTGATGCTGCCAGGGGAGTCGGAGAAAACTGACTCATCATCGGACACCTGCAACTTCTCCAGCTCCTTGTTGATCTTCTGCAGGTCGGAGACGGCCGAGCCACTCTGGTCCCGCTCCACACGGCCCAGCTCAGTACACAGGCTCAGGATGGTCTCCAGCCGTTGGTGCTCCTACACACAGACGGGGAGAAACCAATGGTCAACACAGTCACACATACAGCCAATTTACCATTCAGATTGTGATATTGGGATCCAAATATTTCGTAGATGGGTATTTTCATCTATTTACAGAGTATTTTGTCAACACAATGTAATCATGTGATCACCCATAAGCACGATCAAACAACCTATAAAAACGACCAATAAAAACACATTAAAACCAGAGAAATCTATTTAAATTTAATCCAGTGATTTTCTGAGGAACATAAAGTTCAAAGGAGTTTTAACCAGTCTGACCAACTGGTTCATGGCGTACCAGTCTGAATGGCTTCCATCTCTTTACAGCAGAAGTGTGTCAATTAAACAGGGAGCTTGTGAAACATGGTGAGAACTAGTCAGAAAATCCAATTAGCCTTCTCAAGTAACAGAAGCTGAAATCAAAGCCCTATAAACACTTTCATGTTTTCCTAACAGTCCCTAGTAAAGAGACTGGAGACCAGATGAACTGGCAGAATGAAACCAGGTGTCTCAGTCACACAATCAGAGCCTTCTAGATTAAACTCTAGACTGAAGAATAAAAGCAGGGTATTATCATGGCAGAATAATAATGAATATGAGTAACATTATTGTTCTAATGGAGAGGACAAACGTGTTATTCTCACCAGCCTCTGCACCTCCTGTTCTCTGAGCCTCTCGTCTCTCTGGTGCATGTGGTAGTCTCTCAGCTCCTCCTTCCCATTCAGAGAGCTGATGCTGCCCCTCCTCGATCCCGGCCCCAGTCCCCCCTTCCCAAAGGACAGCCTCCTCTCCCCCAGGCCCAGGTCCAGGCAGGGTGAGGAGCCCTGCAGGCCCCCTCCCTCCAGCTCACAGCCCAGAGAGGCCAGGCTGGCCCGGCGTGGAGTACCCGGTACACTGGCTGTGGCTGGCACTGTCACGTCTGGCGGCCGCTCCACAGTAAACAGGCTTCGCCTCGACTTGGAGGAGAGGGAAACAGAAACCTTCTCCCCTCTGTGGGAGCCCATGGAGCGGCGTGGTGGCAGGGACAGGGCTGGGGAGTCAGCCGACCGATGGAGGCGGGGTAGAGAGCGGCTGTGGGTAGAGCCCAGGCCGTTGAGTGACCCTGTAGAGTACTTCCTCTGACGTGGTGCAGGGTCCATACCATTGTCCACGTTCCGGCCCTGGGCGTAGAGCCTGCGGCCTAGACGAGGGCTGGAGGGCATGCTGGCCGCCCCGCTGTGGCCCCGAGGAGGGCGGGGGGCAGGCTCCCCATAGGAAGAGGAACCATTCCACATGGACAGCAGAGAACTGGCTACAGGGGGGCGGCGACCATCAGAGGAGTTAGAGAGGAGCAGGCTGTCCTGTGATTGGTGGCGTGAGCAGGTGTATGGTGAGTTGGGGCTGAGAGATCGCTCGCCCTGGCGAGGGGAGGGGGGCATGCTGCTGCTGGTCATGTAGGGGAGGCCTCTGGAGGAGAGGGGGCGCTCAGCGCTCCCGTGGGCCGTGGGGGACAGGGGGCTGGGAGGGGGCAGGCTGAGGTAGGTGCGGGTAGATTCTGCACTGGCCCTCAGGCTAGCCTCTAGAGCACTCTTCCTGCGCTGCAGAGTCTCCATCAAGTCATGCAGCTCTGCCTTCGAACGGGAGCCTCTCATCATGGTACCACCCACTGAGCCACCATTGCTGTGCTCAATCTTCACACAGTCTGTGGAAACATCAGAAGAATAGAACTCCCATTAATGTGGATATATGATCCTTTCTTGGAGCACCCTTATAAACACACCCTACTTCAAGCCCAACACCTCAGCTAAGAGAGACTGAGGCAATCAGACTGAGTGGTATCTAATAACCAAACAGTGATCAGCTCCTGCAGTGTGCTGACTAAGGCGGGAGAAACCAGCGAAGAACCCCTCTCAGACGGTTCTGGGCCCAACACAAACACAGAGTTCATGGTTAAGGAAAGCTTCATCTAAAAATGGAAAAATGCTGGCAGAGCAAGACGGGCCAGAATGCCTTTGTACTTTCTAGCACTGAGGGACAGCCTGGACCCTGAGCACCTCTGTCAGCACACCCCTTCCTCCCACAGACCCGGCCCCTGTGGCCCAGCATGCAATGCGCGGGTGCTGCTCTGAGACCAACTGGGCTGGCTGACCTCAGACTCTGTTTATCTGCACTTGTATGGTGTCATTTGTTTTTCTCAGCGGATAAACTCACACTGCATAGCAGAGGATGTGGTGGTCTTCCATTTATTTATACCTTACATGGGCAGTTTGACCAAAGTACTTTGGCAGTGTACATAATCATTTAGCTGAAGAGTATAACTACAGTGTCAGAGTAGAGTAGAACAGAGCATGACCCTTGCCCCCCAGCAGACAGAGAGACTGACAGATAGACAGAGAACAAGCACATTCTGATCTCTGAGAACCCCTTCTATACAACACATCAATCTCAGTGACACCTTGGCACATCTGGAGGTTCCTCATGCAAGGGGATAAACAGGGGAGAATGACAGTAGGTATAGGGGAAGTAGAGAAATGGGGTAAGAGGCTAGCACAAGGAAAGGAGAAATGGTTGTGTGTTGTCTTCATGGTTGTGGGAGAGAGAGAGAGAGAGAGAGAGAGAGAGAGAGAGAGAGAGAGAGAGAGAGAGAGAGAGAGAGAGAGAGAGAGAGAGAGAGAGAGAGAGAGAGAGAGAGAGAGAGAGAGAGAGAGAGAGAGAGAGTGGTTCCTACCTGAGCCATAGCCCATTGTGGTGACAGGACTCTTCTGGGGCAGCATGCTCTTCATTCAACTGGCCTCCTCTGGGTGGTTAAAGTGGAAGAAGTAGGATTTACCTAGACAGCGTCTACCCTGGGAAAACAATAAACACAGTTAGAACTACACTCTCTCACAAATGCACACACATTCAAGAGAGTACTTTGTATAATATGTTGAACACAGCCATGCACACACACACACACAGACACAGACACACACACACAGTATTGACTACATGGTTATGTAAAAATGTACTCATTCCCAGAGCTTTCCATTAATATAATTTAAAAACTAAAATCAACTCCCCTACCCGCGAATACACACACACACACGCACGCACACACACAGCATAATGCACACAAGGTAATGCTTCTTGGAGCAGAGCTTTCCGCCGATTACATCAATGTCCAAATAAAACACATTGTTATAGAGCACACTACAAAATACCCTCTGTTCTCAAACACTGTCTGGAGTTGAGCAGCTAAATGAGAAAACCTTACAGAGTAGGAATACAGTAGTCTGGCTGACGCCAAACTCAAAGTCCTTCTGACTTCAGAGTCTGGAAAGGCTCTTTTGATGTTGACAGCACGATGTGTCGATTATGAAGGGGGCTGTGCATTTTTACTGATTGGTTCTCCTCTGTGTCTATCTCACCCACTTGGACAGCCACACACAGCCCCCGAGCACCGCCCCCTTCCAATACAACTTTTGGATTTTCTTATCCAAACAACGTGAGGTCTCAACCCCCCAGGAAAAAAAAAAGTCTGAGAAAACCAATCAATGCTCAGCTAGAAATAAGTACAACTCTGTGTGAATATTGCATTTACAACGGCCTCCTGTCCAGACCAGTGTGTCAGATCCATCTCTGACCACATGAGTCGAGTCGAGTCAGCCTGGCTAGGAAAACAGATCCCAGGGAAAGAATTCAGGCTTCAGCATTAATGATATCTGAGATGGAAACAAAGTTCACCTCACTTTTGTGGGCAAACAAAGGATGGGTGAGAATGCTGCTCTTTGTCCCTGAATCAATATGCTATTTACTCTTTATCTATGTCATTGAGCTGAGCTGTCTGGTACACACTTTGATGATTTCAGCAATATTTACTCTCTGAGACTGGGACTCTGACAGAGATATACAACTCCCCTCCCCCAAACACACACAAGCACGCACAGATGTACGCACGCACAAGTCTTTGGGTCTGATAATCCAAGGTTTCCTGCTCCGCCAGGCTGATGGCTACCTTGCTGGTTGGCTAGAGGAGGTTCTTCAGAAAGTGGGGGATCTTTTTATACAGTCAGCTACAACCCACAATCCATCAGCGTGATTTCACCCTGCTCTGGCCACCTAAAACAGCTTTAGGGGGCTTTTAAACCGCCACAACAGGGCAGCAAGGCAGAGCAGAGCAAAAAAACTGATATAGAGGATTTCTTTCTTCAGGGAATCCCAATTCACATAGGATGCCTCCTACACATGTGGGTTCTACTCAATGTGTGTGTGTGTGTGTGTGTGTGTGTGTGTGTGTGTGTGTGTTATATGACTAGCCTTACAGTGGAACTAGGCTTACATGTGTAATGATATGGTGGGCTGTATATTACTAACTGATAAGAGCTCTAATACGTTTTTCTAATAAAACATTTGTGCAACAACTTATTCCTCTATTAATAATCTGTCTACTACAGAGGATAGCGTTGTGGTACTGTACCTCATATGACCAAACACCCGGGGCTCAGGGAATCACCCTCTCACAGCCTCTTAGCCCCTTCTGAGAATAGTACCCCTTTTTGTCTAATTGATTAACCACATAATGACATGGTTACGGCAGCAGATGTGTCATAATTAGGAGTCCAATCCTCAGCCAGCTCGACTTCTCTTTAAACTCTGCATGAATCTCTGTTATCTCCCAATCATATCACAAAACAGTAAACACAAGTGATCAAGTTATAGGCATATTCTTCGCAATAAGTAGGCCTATTAGTCTACTACAATAAAAAAAATGCGATGGAGTAGGCTATCAAACCACTTCGGGGAAACGGTGGGACCATATGAAAAGTATTTAAAGAAAGCGCACTCTGATTTTCCGAGCAATACAGCTGGAAAACATCCATTCATTTATTCTGAAAAATAAATTAAGAATATAGCCTATGTTGCCGGCAACTCTTTCACAAACGACAGGTAACCCAACGAAACCATGCCTATATTTGAACAATGAAACAAACTGGAGTTCGAGAAATATAAAACCGAAAGACTGGTTAAAAAAGTGATTCTCCTGAGAGACGAGGATAGAGACCGCGGCGCTGGATGAAACAGACCCGCATCTTTTCTGCCTCTTGCAGCAACCAATAGGTTTCTCCGAACTTTTGATAACTTCTGAGATTTCTTTGTTCAGAAGACGACAACTAACCTTTGTGTGCTGTCCCATTCAAACTGTTGAGCGCTGGTGATGGACGGAACTCCTCTGCCTCGGATTAGCATGACAAAGGGACGGAGACGCTGCCCGCTGCTACCTTGACTGAGTCCTCAGATACTCCTCCCAATTCTCAGACGAAGCCCCAAGCCCCGGGACTGCGCAGATCTGGTTGGCTGATTTTGGTGGTCGTACACGCGCTAAATGAGGGAGAGGAGGGTGCTTTGGTGGGACGGGGGAGAGGGAAATAGAGGCCGGGTGACGGGGGTGCTGCAACCGTAATCGACCCACGCTGATAAAGCATGTCCCAAGAGCAATGTCTAAAACAAAATCATTACTACATTACGCAGATCCCTCATCACCCATGTCTTTAATCAGTGCATGCGTTTATTTCATTCCTAAATACTGTAGACCACTGAATTTTCCCCCTAGGACATTAAAAACTACAGGAACAAGAGCTACTACCTGTTATAAACCTATAACAACTTCCAAACCGACTGCTTGAAAACAGTAAACGGATACTACAAACACTAACGACTATTACTAACAACATTATAGTATAGGCCAAACTAATATTACAGTTTTTCAATTGTTTACACACTAAAACTGGCCCATGAGTCACAATGACCCAACCCTGTAACTCATTTGCAGAACCAGACACCAAATCTGCGATACTATTGGCACGTTTTGCTTTACACTCAGATAGCAATTCTATAACAAACATTTGGCAAAACACAACACGCAATTCTCTACCTTTGGCACAAACTTCACAACTAAAATATATTGTGTGCAAATGAAAAGCAACACTGTTCAACAAGCTAAGCTCAATTACCAATTGATCACTTTCACTCTTCACATGTGCAAACACTAATTGCATAAATGTTCACTTTGCAATCAGACCTTTGGTATGGATAAAAAGGACACTGGTGAGTACTCCTGTGTTTGGAAAACAATGGAAGCAAACTTGCAGAGAGAGGTAGAGGTAGAGGTGGAGGTGGAGATGGAGGTGGAGGAAGACCTAGAACAAGGAGAGTAATCTCTGATGAAATTCAGGCTACTGTGGTGGACCATGTGGTCAACCATGGTTTGACCTTGAGAGGGGCAGAGAGTGCAGCCCAATCTGAGCCGCTTCACCTTAGCATCCATCATCCGGATGTTCCAAAATGATATTAGGTAGGTACTGCAGACATTGGACCTATCTACTACTTTTACTACTTGACAGTATAACATAAAGCACAGTAAAGACTGTAGATTCCAATATATACTGTAAGGGGAAACAAAGTCAATATTTTATGTATTACTGTATGAAATTGGGAACTATACTACTTTGTAATATGTTTATCTTGTATACTGTATTACTGTAGTGTTTACTGTACTTCCTTAAACAATTGTGGTTTCTACTGACAATTTAGATGTACAACCTATGGCATAAGGGGACAACGAGCGGATAAGAGGCAATCCGTAATTCCGATGAAGACATTAATGAGTGAGCTAGGACGGACATAGTCAATATAACTATTTGCTAAGCACTTTTGAAATGTACAGCGACATAATTCAGAACATGGGGTGTTCTTACAGTATTCTCCCTGTACACCAAGTCAGAACCGTAAGATAAATAAAGGGGGCATATAAGCAATATTCAATGATGACATTTCTATAAAACAGGCTATAGGCTAAATGTGCACCACCAAGTCAGAACAGTAGGCTAAGTTATGAGGGGGAAAGGGACCACATTATTATGGTGAGGCACATGGGCTACTAACAGCTTACTACACAACATACACTTAGTATTACTTAGGTACAGTATACATATCTCCCTGACATATTACATAATTTATGCAGCAGCATACAATACATTTTTGGACTTACCTTGATTGCTGTGTTCACTTAAACAGGAAGGTGGTGCGGCGGTCCTTCGTGGCAAATTTTGTGATCATACTTTGTCATCAAAGTCTGGCATTCTCTGGATTTATGGTGCTTTCAAGACAACTGGGAACTCGGAAAAAAACAAGATCGAATCATGACGTCAGTGATCTTCAGGTTGGAGCTCTAGAAAGAGGCCCGAGTTCCTGACTTGGAATTCCGAGTTGGATGACCGTTCAAAACATATTTTCCCAGTCGGAGCCTGTTTTTTTACGAGGTCCCAGTTGTCTTGAACTCACTGAAGTCTGAGATTTCCCAGTTCCGATTTTCTAGTTGTTTCGAACATTGGCCATGCTGGATTGACAGCATGGCCAATGTTGAATGTTTATCTTTTTAAGCTTGAAAAAGAGACCCTTAAGCCCAGACTTGGACCACACACTGACTCCTCCGAATAGCAGGTCTAGCGATTGCTTTGCAATGCTTGCAGTTAGCCACTGATTCCTTCCAAACCAGTCATTGTTGAATTTGCAATTACCAACTTGTTGTGTAATGTTTATGTCCAATGGCCGATGAGCACCGATACATTTTATCTATTATTTCTCATATGACAAGGATTGAAAAGGATTTGCCAGTAGATTGTCGACTTGATTCATGATGATGACTTTTAGCTTGCTAGCTAAGATTTTGAAAGTATGATGTTGACATGATCAGTCCAATCATAGCTACGGTAGATATAATGTGATTTGACGTCATTTTATCTGTGGCCAATGACCTTGAGCCTTCTTGGATGGGCACTTCTAATGTAACTCTATGGCAGCACCCAAGGGGCTTGAATTTTTCAACCTCTCCCCGTTGATTTTGCGGTGACGTAGTGTCCCCATGAGTGACAGAACACTGAGCCAATCAGAGCACAACTAGAGAACATTACCAACCCCTACGCTCCGTATTTTCCGCTGGCTGCCCCACCACCACAGAAAGCACCTGCATTTTGGAGTTGCCTTACTCAAGAAAGCAAAGAAATGACGATGTTTGTATGCGGCTTTATTAACTCAATTATTATTATTATTATTATTATTATTTTTACATTGTTTGCAAACTGATATATGACACGTATTAATGCCAAAATAACATGCCAAACAGGCAACTATATATATACAGTACCAGTCAAAAGTTTGGACACACCTACTCATTCAAGGGTTTTTCTTTATTTAGACTATTTTCTACATTGTATAATAATAGCGAAGACATCAAAACTATGAAATAACACATATGGAATCATTAAGTAACAAAAAAAGTGTTAAACCAATCAAAATATATTTTATAGTAGCCACCCTTTTCCTTGATGACAGCTTTGCACACTCTTGGCATTCTCTCAACCAGCTTCATGAGGTAGTCACCTGGAATGCATTTCAATTCACAGGTGTGCCTTGTTAAAAGTTAATTTGTGGAATTTCTTTCCTTCTTAATGCGTTTGAGCCAATCAGTTGTGTTGTGACAAGGTAGGGGTGATATACAGAAGATAGCCCTATTTGGGAAAAGACCAAGTCCATATTATGGTTAGAACATCTCAAATAAGCAAAGAGAAATGACAGTCCATCATTACTTTAAGACATGAAGGTCAGTCAATCCGGAAAATGTCAAGAACTTTGAAAGTTTCTTGCTATGATGAAACTGGCTCTCATGAGGACCGCCACAGGAAAGGAAGACCCAGAGTTACCTCTGCTGCAGAAGATAAGTTCATTAGAGTTACCAGCCTCAGAAATTGCAGCCCAAGTAAATACTTCACAGAGTTCAAGTAACAGACACATCTCAACATCAACTGTTCAGAGGAGACTGCGTGAATCAGGCCTTCATGGTCGAATTGCTGAAAAGAAACCACTACTAAAGGACACCAATAAGAAGAAGAGACTTGCTTGGGCAAAGAAGCACGAGCAATGGACATTAGTCCGGTGGAAATCTGTCCTTTGGTCTGATGAGTCCAAATTTGAGATTTTTGGTTCCAACCGCCGTGTCTTTGTGAGACGCAGAGTAGATGAACGGATGATCTCTGCATGTGTTGTTCCCACCGTGAAGCATGGAGGAGGAGGTGTGATGGTGTGGGGGTGATTTGCTGGTGACACTGCCTGTGATTTATTTAGAAATCAAGGCACACTTAACCAGCATGGCTACCACAGCATTCTGCAGCGATACCCGATCCCATCTGGTTTGCGATTAGTGGGACTATCATTTGTTTTTCAACAGGACAATGACCCAACACACCTCCAGGCTGTGTAAGGGCTATTTGACCAAGAAGGAGAGAGATGGAGTGCTGCATCAGATGACCTGGCCTCCACAATCACCCGATCTCAACCCAATTGAGATGGTTTGGGATGAGTTGGACCGCAGAGTGAAGGAAAAGCAGCCAACAAGTGCTCAGCATATGTGGGAACTCCTTCAAGACTGTTGGAAAAGCATTCCAGGTGAAGCTGGTTGAGAGAATGCCAAGAGTGTGCAAAGCTGTCATCAAGGCAAAGGGTGGCTACTTTGAATAATCTAAAATCTAAAATATATTTTGATTTGTTTAACACTATTTTGGTTACTATATGATTCCATATGTGTTATTTCATAGTTTTGATGTCTTCACTATTATTCTATAATGTAGAAAATAGTAAAAAATAAAGAAAAACCCTTGAATGAGTAGGTGTTTCCAAACTTTTGACTGGTTCTGCTAAACAGGTGGGGCTCTGCCCATTTGAAAGGAATTCCCAAAGAGTGAAGGATAAACAGTACGAATATGTGCAAGAAATGGCCGGACCAAATCAACAGACATGACTGATTTCGTTTTCGCAATGGAGTATTTGTTTCTTGACTTATGATTTTGATTTTACTGTATTTTGACAGTTTCTTGATCTATTCCATTAAATTGATCTACATACAGTATAGTAGTACAAATCGGCCTATTTTTCTTCCTTTGCATTTGCGAAATATATTTACTGTATCTGTGCTTACAGTATGCTGTTTGACATGTATTGAGTCATGTTGAAATATAAACTAACTTTTTTGCATTTGTGTTACTTTCTTGTTTGAGTACACACAAACAATATACAATATAACAACAAAATCTTAGTCTTTACTCTGAAATAGGTTCTGAAAGTAGTGTTTTGAATATGTCATATTAGTGTGATCCCCCGTGTAGCTCAGTTGGTAGAGCATGGCGCTTGCAACGCCAGGGTTGTGGGTTTGATTCTCATGGGGGGCCAGTATGAAAAAAAAAAATATATATATGTATGCACTCACTAACTGTAAGTCGCTC